GCCAGCGGCTGGGGGGAGCGATTCTGGGAACCGAGAGGCACTTCAAGCCCTTCCCAGTTTACCGATTTACCGCAGACTGCGAGAGGAAGCCTGACCACCTGCCCCACAATCCTCTTCACCTCGGCACAAAGCAGCACCGAACCCTGCCAAGCTTTGGTACAGCACACCAGCAGGGGAGGGGGGTGTTCTGGCTGTGCCGCAGAGCCCCTGCTTCTCACCCCGGTACTGTATCGTCCCTGATAATTCAAAGTAAGGCTGGAGGGACTGACCCTAACCACCACCCTTGGCAGCACTTTTGGTCCAAAAATACTGGAGTAATGATCCTGCTCCCTCCCCCCCACAAGATTTTCATTAAGTTACTCATACAGATTAACATCCAAACGACAGCATACATAAATAAAACTCAAGAGTTGACATAGTAACTCCGGGCTTTAGCTACCAACTGTCCAAGAAATCAGAATATCAAAGCTTTGAAAGGCGCTGAACGTCGAGTTTTGCCAAGGAGGGGAGGAAGAAGCTTTAAGTTTAAACCTTCAGGGCATCACTGAATCAGCAGATCAGTTCACAGCCATCACAGTTTGTAGATGGGCATCTCAGTCCCAAAATAAACAAGTGCTTTGTCCTCTTAATGTCGAAGGCAGCCACCGACAGCTACAGAGCGGATGCAGGGACCTTGACTCTGACCAGCAGGGAAATTTAGGACAACTGAGTGCAGATACTGCCACGTTCTACCAGTTCATCTGTGCTTTAAGACTCATTGCAAAGCCTCCGCTAGAAAAAGGATCACCTCTGGGTATCCAACAAAAAAACAAAGTTTTAATAAATTTTTTTTTTTTTAAATCTTAAGACGATGTAGTTCAGCTGTCAATCATTTCAGAAAGTTCCAGGAGGAGGTCATCCTCATCCTTCCCTGGGTCCAGGTCAATTTCTGCTTCCAGTTTGCCTCCTGAGATTTCCCAAATAAGCTTCTCAAAGTCATCTTCTACAGACACGGGTGTTTTCCCAGCCCCGGTGGAGCTCAGCCGGCGCGTCTTTGCCGGCACTTGTGGAGAAGCTGAAGTCGAGCTCGAGACCTCCAACTGCGCCACAGAGCCTGCCTGGATTCCAACATGCAGCTCAGAACTTGGAAGAACAAGAAAGAGCAAATCAGTGCATGACAGTCCTTCACCACAGAGATGTTTTCTGCAAACCAGCTCTTAAAACTGTAGTTAATCCCTCCTGCACCTCCACCTTACACAGGGGCTACTTCTAGAGCCCAGTGTATCAGCAGGTACACTTCTCAGTTTTGGGATTTATCTGTGAAGACAGAGGGGTCTGGCAAAGAATGTTCAATTTTTGTAGCCAGAGACACGTTACCACCTTTATTAATTTGGCTGTAAAAATGTCACCAAGTCAACCTCTGCAAATATCTGGTTATTAATTCAGTTCTTTTCCCCACAACACGCTCAGCAGTTTGCTCCCAAGTACAGGAAGCTGATCTTCATCTACCACCTCTCTGATCTTCATCTACCACCTCTCTGTGCCCTTCCAACAGGCTTGCCAAGGTGGGTGTTTGGTCCTCGAGAGCACCATCACAACAAAAACCACGGGACGCGACTCAGCATTTGCCATTTCGCAAGGAACTAGAAGACAGAGGCCGTTCTCCATCCTGACCCATCTCCTACTTCACCCCATCTTCATTCAGGCGTTCAGAAAACTCAAGAGTCACTGAACAGCTGTACCAACTTGTAGCATTTTAAGAAAAGAATCTAAAAAAGCATTACTGCTGGCTGCTAGAGAATTATTTCAGGTATTTCATAATGCCCTTTGTTGGATTTTGGCATTAAGTATCTCAAGACTAAGTTTTCCACACGTGAAATAACTGGCTTTTCACATGAAAGACACATTGACCAAGAAAAAGAACAAGTTGGGGTTGTTACCTGGTTTTGGGTTTTTCTCTCCCAGGGATGGAGACCAGGCTGTCCTCTGGCAAAGCGGTAACAATGACCTAGGAAGAAGCAAGATACACAGGTCAAAGGCAACTTAGTAGATTTTTCCCTCCACTGTTTCTTCTCTGGCATTGCTGAGCCTTAACCAAAACACAGAATGAGGGCACACCTGAAGAAAAGCCAGTATTCACTTCAAGTTTACTAAGGACCTTGTGTCTTTGAGGACACAGCATTTATGGACAAAATCCTTCACACCAGAGAAATCACAGCAGAGCATGATGCAAACGCTGCCACTCATGTAACAAAAAGCAGAGAGGTACTACAGCCATCCTGTAGAGCACTTCTGGGCTGAAAAGTGAACAGAGACCTGTAGAACATTTCAGTTTTCCATCTTTTCTCCAAGAGAAGGGTAAAGCTCAGGCACAAGTTCTACTAGGATCCAGTGCTGCCTCAGCAACTGTCCTTACCGCAGCTGCTTTTTTGGCTGAAGGCACCTTGGTGACACCACCAGTGGTACTCAGTGGCTTCACAGCCGCCACGGCAGAGGGATGTATCTCAGCTGCCTTACGCTTCAGCGTCTGCTTTGTGGAGGAGGTGGCTTTCCCATCCAAAGGCTTCAGGCACGCCTTAGATTTGGCTAGGGTAAAAGGAAGAAAGAACTGATACAGTCTTGCTCTGCCTCAGGAAACAAAAAACCAAACCAAACCAAGTTCTTCTAAGAGACTCATCATCCTTCTAGTTAAGTACACTTGGCCAGCACAATTACACTGCCATTTCCCAGATTCTCAGCAGTATTTTCCACATACTAAACTGTTTACCAACAAGCCGTAAAAAGGAGCGAGTTACAAAAGGAGCCAGAGTTACAACGTGAAAATTGTCATCTGCTGCCTTTCTGTCCAAACACGACCTACAGTAACTCTTGAACATACAGTCAACGCTTACTTTTAGCTTTCCGTTCCAGAAGCTGAGCTGCCTGCTTCCCTGAGGATACAGCAGCATTCTTTCGTGGGCTTTTAACCCCATCTTCCGGAGATTTCACCAATATCCTCTTCGCAAGCTGATAATCTGACCCTGAAACCACGGTGGATCCAGCACTCCCTGAGGCTGGAGTTTTATCCTTGATGGCTTTTCCAGCAGGAGATGGCACAGCAGTTGCTTCCTTCTGAAGCTTCTCTTCTTGGCGTTGATTCAGTTGCCGCTTCTCCCACATTATCTCTTCAAGGCTCTTCACTTGAACTTTAGAATTAGTTGTGCTCTGATCAGAGGGCTAGACAGAAACAAAAAGGGGAGGACTAAGAGGACAAGAATCCATGGAGATTTCATTAAGAAAATCTGAGTGGCAATCCCTCCGAAATGGCTCCATGTGGAACAGAGCATGTTCATACCATTCAGATCTGACATTTTCTCCATAAAATCTTGCCTGTAACAAGATCCACGCTTTGCTATGGAAATACTGTTTCAAAAGCCTGCAATTCCCAACACAGCAAGCTTCTCTAACGGAGCACAAGACTCTAGCTGTAATCTATCACACTCTTCTTAAGCAACAGTCATACAATCTCCCCAAAACAGCATTCACCGACAGACTGACTTCCTCTAATACAAAGCCCTGGCCTTCCCTATTCAAATACTTGCCTCAGAATTTTTAAGAGACCCTTCCAGTCTGACAGACAGAGTCACTGAGAACAAAAACATTCCCTCCACATGAACGCTGCAGATTTTATCTGGGGCTAATGGGGTTTCTTACTCATTGTCAGGTATAATCAGATTAATTCAAAGCACGAGGATTACAACGTTGTCTGGAAAACGCTATTGAAAGCGCCAGGACGTAGGACTTCACCGCAGCACTCGCCAGACGCAGCGAGGCAGCAACACCCTCCAACTCGGGAGCATGCAGGGAGTTACAAACAAAACGTAACAAAATCTATAACAAACTGCAGGGATATTTGTACGTCTTCACAAAGGACTCACCTCTGCAGGTGCAGAGCCTGCTTTGGGACAAGGCTTGCTCAATTCCACTACCATCTTTTCTTCTCTTCCAGGTGCTTTAAAACAAGCAAAAAAAAAAAAAAATTAATTTTGTCAACAGCGGAAATAAAGTTAGCTCTGCTTCCTTGGTGCGTTTATTTCCTCAAGTCCAATAATAGGACAGAGGGAAAGGCTACAGCA